GTCTAGTAAAAGAGGTAAACATGAGACAGTGCTCTTCAGGCACCAATCAATCAGGAACAGTTGATTTGGATGGTAGTACGAGACCTATCAAGAGCACACGAAATTGTTGGTAGAGGTATAATAATCACTTTTGACTTAAGTGTGTGTACAATCAACAGGCCAACGAAGTCCCACAGAGAAGCAGCAACGTCGGTACGCATTCCTTGTGTACAGAAAGTAGCAACATCTCATCTACTCCTCATGGTCACTTCAGATGAATGAACATGCAATGTCTACTTGCTTTATTCTTCGTAGCATTACGCGAATGTATCTGGACTAGCCGACACAATAGATTGGATGTTATTAAAAAACGCATTATTGTAAGCGCATAAACTGATTTGTCTTCGGTTTATAATTTTAACGTTTTGAATTGGATCTTATTTTTGGGTTACTCTATGTGGCATTTGTTGAAGGCCATTGTCGTTGTGGTTTGTTTTGTGTTTAACTTTTTCGTTCCTACTTTCTCACACTTTGTTGGGTCCACGAGCGTAGGCGAGAAAGGTGAATAACAGCGACCACTTTCATTGGTGATAGTGTGCGGAGTGGCTGGATGGAGTCCTGAAGCCTCAATTATTAGCCACTACCAGTTGGCAGAATATGGGACTCTGGTGATTGGATGGAGCTAATGCTGTTAGACCTACAAGCATGAAGCGATAGACACGCGTTGAATTGGAGTGGCAGTAAGCGTCAGGTCAAGGTGAACGAAAAAATAGTGGAGGAACTGCTGGGCAGCGCATGAATTGCAGCAGTGTGAGACCACTACAAGTAGTCAAATTTTTGTGAAAAAAAAGAGTTATATCTTCCTTTCCCTTCTCAGGATCAGCGGCGTTATTTGCTAGAAAATTCGGTTGCAAGGGCAACACCATTTGTTGAATTAAACATTAGTGGTACAAAAGATTTCTTTTACAACGGTATTAGCATCAACTGCAACGCAAAGAGGGCTGAAATGGACGCAAATTATTTGAAAGAGCGAATGCTAATTAATTGAAATTGGAATCTCTTATATATATACATATATATATATACATTTGGTCTCTTAGAAATTGTACAAGTGTGCATTCAAGTAACATAGCATTGGAACGCTGGAAAATGTCTGAAAAGAGTGGTGTCATATTGGCTGGAGTAAATCAAAGCGAAGTTATGAGTAGCCAATCCATTGGCAAAAATAAGTTAACATCACGAAGGCAAGCCGGGAAGGGACTGTCCCAAAACACGCCATTGAGCACGCATTTGTCAACCTCAAACGACATCTGGCTCACTGCGTTTGCTGGAGGAACACAATGATCGCACAGGTAGGAACTCGCTCTAACACGTTTGTTTACAGTCACAGAAACACATGATGGGAAAGGAAGAGCATATCCCCATATGTAATTAACTCATTCAACAGTCATTTCCCATAATCCCCTTTAATGCGTATCTTAACTCAGCGCACTTGAGGATTGTTCACCATTACAATAAGTCATAACGTCAGATGGTCGTGTTGGCTATCCGACAACGCGAGAAACCCACAATTCTGGTCTTTTTTGCCTTTAACGAAAAAGTAATCTTATCATACTTTACTCCATCAACCATGCACAACCGAGAAATGAGAACAATGAATGCAGAAGAATGGACTGTGAAGAATTACGGGCAATGAATTTGATGCATAACCGAGTAATGTGTCACGCAGGACAGAATTGCGATTGTCTTCTATACGATCTGTTCCCATACCCTAGAAGATGCCTATTATGGACTTAAACACCTTACCCTTGATTCCCCAAAATGGATTAGAGCATTTCTCGGGCCTCATTTGTCCCAACTCTGATGTTGTATTGTTTTTGGGCAGGCGTCGTAGTAGTGAATTAGCAAAGTATCGCACCGGGCGTCGCCTCACTTTCAACTTGTCAAATGTCATGGGGTAGACTGTAAAAATTGCACTGACCAAGACAAATTGCATGATAGAATCAGTTGCTGTTTAATGCTTGCTCTTCTGTGCAATTTGACATTTTCCAACAAAATGTGGTAAATCACAGCACAATCGTGTATCAGGTGACTCTCTTTCCCTTCACTTCAAGAAATCCTTAAGGAGATATCTCGACATTAGAACCAAACACTTCAGTAAAATATCTATTTCAGACTGCCATGCTCACTTGCCTTAAAGTGGATTAGCAAACAAAGCTATTTCCTCGGCGAAAAATGCCAACTCCATGTGTGACATTTTCGTAGTCAGTTGGACAAGTAGAAGAACCGGCTGATGGATGCGCGTCATAGTAGCTTCGAATGTTTTCGAAACATTCACGATTGACGGTATCCAGACTGCTCCTTCTTATATTTTGCAGCTGCAGTTAAATTTTAATGGTGCCAAATTTACTTATACAGACGTCATGGCATTTTGACCTGGTTCATATTCAGCGCCTAGGTCTCAAATTTGCTTGGCCTCTCAAAAACTCCTTTATGGTGTAATGGCAGTGTGGGTGAACGTGTAATGCACAGACTCACCCTCAAGAAAGACGTGCGACAAAGCGAAGAACACCAAACCCATACTGGCAATGTCGACAAGCATAACTATGACGGAGTTACAGAAGAGATGAAAACTTCAGGTTTGAATAAGGCCTTCCCTGATTGGGATTTTAGCGTCGAGCTGCACTGCGTAGTTGTTGTTAAAAGCTTTTGTTGATATGGATGGGCAACCGCAGGAGATCCTTTCTTTTTTTAAGATGCACAAAGTTCCACAAATTACGCAAAATAAAGGCCACTTTATTCACGTTGATGACGCACAAATTTAGTTGTTGCTTTGCTGTTTTACTTTTCGATTGTGGAATGCCTTGTATTAGTTTACCTTGATAATGAGCTCATTGCTTTATTATCACATTTGGGGTAGCTGTTATCTCTCATAATACGCAAATGAGCGTGTTGACAGCAAGTCAGGGCATTCGTGCGACGTGGATGCCGTTTCATTGCCCGTGGTAAGTGTCTGCGGGAGTGCGTTTTGGCCGTAGATATGGCGAAGCAATTGCAGCGTCTTGGTGGTTGCAGGACATTGAAGCATTCGCAGGAAGTGTCGCTGACTCTAAAATTGCCATTATCCTGCAATGAAAGGCGTTCCTTGCAAGGTGAGGTGTATCATTGTCCGCGTGGAGATTACCCTAGAGGCTATTATTGAATGTGTAGTAGGAACATCCTAAGCGCTCTATATTTTTCTCTCCTTTTGGGTCTGTAATCCGTGAATCAATCAATCAGAATGTCATGATGAATAAAATGGAGAAAACAGACACAAGCTGAACCCTTTTGCACTGAATCACAAAGCCTCAACATGTCTGACTGCATCATACAAATTTGCTGCAAACTTGTCAAATGTCCGAGTGTCGCATGTGTGAGGCGAGATGATGTGGCGGTTGGATTGCAGCAGTACATGCTGCAATACAAATGCATGTAGCTGTGTGAATGCCTTCATTCAAATAAGAGTACTTACGTGAAGTTGAATAAACCTAGTAATTTGCAGAAGAAATAAGTAGATCATGTCATCAAAGTAAAGTGATAGGTATGCCTATGCTAATGATAAAAATGATGGCACAGTATAAAATGACAAGCAAATGCTTCCTGGAATGGCGATCGCGCAGGCAGTCAACGCAATTCTCCTGCATCCGGTAGGCGTCGTTTCTAAACAAAGTGGAGGCAAATTAAAGCATTGTGAGTGACCCTGGAACACCCAATGTTGTTTGTGCAAATTCATGAGGAAGAACACCCCTATGCTTCCCTGCAACTTCACTGCATAAGCCTCAGTCACTATCATGAGTCCACTTGCATATGTTGGTAGCGAAAACATCAAATTATGACTAAAAAGGGAGATGTGGATGTTTGCACACAGCTTCACATAAAGTACGCGCGCACTAAACCTGTAAGAACTTACTCTAAGCACCAGACCTACACCTACGCAATTCTGGCTGAGACATGGTGGAGGTCAACGCAAAGGTGAGAGCCTTCTATTCACAGTTGCAACTCCAGTTTCACCCAATCAACCAGCCAACCAATCGCATTGATGAGGTTGAATTGGAGAGCATATAAATGCACACCAGACATTATGCTAGTCATGAACGTGTGCCATGTTGTTAATTGTCGTCTTGCTTATCTAAATCATCCATTGCTCTGGTACGTATTCATTCTCCACTTTGTCTCAATTTCTCATTAAATATGTCACCGCATGCCAAAACCCAATGCTTGTAATAGTTCGCTTGCCTATTGGTAGCAGGCCACTCTTACTATGCATAACATTGAAAGTGGTATAAGTGGTCCATTGTGATATAATGAAGTGTGCCGTCAGGCTAGCGTGAATCCATGTTCCGCGCTTAGGTATGCATGGAGTTGTACTTGTAATAGACAGCAAAAACCGCACAAAACATTCTGCGTGATGTTGTAGTTGGGTGGGAGACAAGTGAAAACATAACTTTCATATGCAGGTGCAAGTTACCGCTTGCATTAGACGTCTCAATGGACAGTTTCAGTGGAGTGGGCACTGAAACTGCAAGTATTGAAAACGTCGTGAGTGTAAATGCTGTTGGGGGAAGCGGGGATTGGGTTAGGAAATAGAGCCACATGCTATAAGGGCTTGGAAAATGTGCGCCTTTGATTAGGTGTCAGTGGCATTTTATGCGTTTCTCCTGATAACTCTTCCACATGAATTTATTTTGAAAGCAGAAGGGCCTCGTAAGTTTGTCGCTTGCGCTCTCACAAATTGGATAGGCTTTTGCATGACTAAATTAAATGAACTCAAATTTCGCGTTTATGTGTGCGAGATAGAAGCTGACCCAGTGTTATGGAGGTCTCGGATTATTGGGACGCCAGAGGGACCATCGCCACAAATGTATTTCCGTCTTCCTGAAGAAGCTGTATGCATTACACATTTGTTTAAAGCATATTTTTTAAACATGGTGTTAAACGATTAATTTTGTGCTGCTTGGATCTTTATCTTTACATCTCATCTGTCAGTATTTTTAAATAGGCATGAACAAGGTAATTAAAGTGTGATGTCATCCTGCCCCATGATGTTTTCGTTTGATCGCAGTTGAAAGGCAGGCAATCTGGTAAAAGCAAATAAGCAATGGCCAGTGCTATGTTGGCAATGAAGTCTGGGGTCGTCCCTGCCATTGGATGAAGTTAGGCTGACATCTAAATATTCCTCTTTTCCATGTACAATCCTCTCTTTTCAATTATTTGCCTATCGTAATAAAAGAACTGTTGAGTGTGAGAAGTGAATCGCACGAGAATCCTTTTCTGTACTTAAACAAATTGAACATTTTAAGGTGATCCTGCGCATGAAAGAAAGTAGGAGATACACAATTGTTGTGGGGACACGGCAGTAATGAAATAGGTGGTCTTGTGGACACCATTGGAAAAATTATGTCTCATTTTAGGAAGTGTCGACATCACTCTGAACGACGTATCATAACAGAAGGCATTGCTAGTAGAATCTTTATCCCCCACAGTTTGGACAGCATACTTCGTACCTAATTGTACATTTCAGAAGCCACGAGAAGGTGAGTGAGTGCAGTTGGAGAAGAATATGCAAGAATATTGCAGGATGGAGGCTTGTTTGTAATAAGTAAATTCACATATACCTTCGTTGCAAAACACAGTACTTTGGATAGTGAATGGTGTCCGTGTGGTCCATGTGATGCTAGAGGGAAGGTGGAATGAGGGAGGATAATTAGCAAATATTTTGCATGCAGATGAAGTGAACTTGGAGACATCGTTTCCGCTTTCTCTGTTCCTTCGTGGATAATCAAATGTGGAAATCAAATTCGCTGCTTAAGGCGCAAACATTGAATCTTGGGTTTGTAAATTGTTTCATCAATCTTGTGAAGGCATTGCCATATATTCCTGACAACACTAATGTATTCCTTTCCATCATTTGCTCACGATCGAGTTCTGGGTCAATTCTGTCCTTCATTCTTGATTTGAAATACAGGTTTACTTTGATATGAATGGAAGAAACCTGTACAGATGGAAAGGCAGTACTCTTCAAAAGCCCTCTTCACCCTATTGCCGTAAGTTTGAATACCATTTAATTGGGTCATATTTCGAGTTCTTAAATGCAGCTAATGTGCCAGTCATTGCTTTTCTCTACCTACTCAAGGTAACTTAATACGACATGAACAGTCCGATCAAAGAGTATTCATCGCGAACATCGCACGTGATGACAAAGATGCGAATAGCACTTTTGAATGGTCTACTCTTAACAGCAGACTGGTCATAAGTGTAGACTGGATGCAGGGAGGTGAGTGAACATCCCCTCTGATAAGGCAGGACTGTCGTCTTTCTTTGTAAAGAAACTGCTTCACCACCACTGCTACACCATGAAGTGAAATAAAACTAAGTCTTATCTAGAGACAAACAATTGTGCGATAGATGTAAAAAGTGGTGTCCTTTCGAAGTTACTGATATTATTGCATTGATTTAGGTAAATCGCCAGAAATTTCGCAATGCAGGGGTGAGTTCAAACGCACGGCTATTCGATGATGAGCATAATACCAGACCACTTTAAGTATTGCAACAATAAGTTTTGCTTTGTATATGCAACATAGTCCAATATGCATGAAGTAAATTAGAGTATTCTGTAATGTTTGATGCTGATGGGAGCTTAGTAAACATTTTGGCAGTGAATATTTGCTGACCGCTTACATGATGCGACTTTCGAGATACGAGGGTGGAAGGGATAGGTACAGCGAAATGTATCATGACCAAATTAGTAATGCAAAGTTGGTTGCAAAAGCCGTATATTTAGGAAAATGTATAGCATATGGTATTCGTGATGTGCTCCACCGCCTCCATATTGTACTGCACACAAACATTGGGTGCACAGTGCTGAATCCCATCCGTAAAAAGTGTATTGCCCCACACCCCCCAGAAAGCCTAAAAACTGACACATAGAAGTCTGCTTTATTTGCGAAATTGCCAGCAATGCTTGAAGTAGGCATATGCGATAAATGAAGCAATGGCTGGCACGACACGCATGATATCTAGGTGATAGTGCTGCTTGTATAGCAACAAAAACCGGCCAACAACCATCAAATGGGCTATCATTTAAATTCCAGCAAACAACTTTAGTGAATTTGCAATTTGTTAGCAGAATGAAAACTACCTCCGTTAGAAACAAACCGTACACTTCAACCGCCAATTTGATTCAACGGATTTCCAATTTCAGCTTAATTCATTCACAAATTAATGCGTTACCTTGGCAGAGACAACCTTCTCAGTGTTGCAGTTGTTTTCAATCCTAGTTACAATCACCAGATTTCATTAAAATTTTTACTATTGCCAGATATCCTCATTCATGCCAGATCAAACTCACTTCAATCCCTTCATTTGATATATGTAGCAAAAATGCCTTATGCATTCGTAAATTTGGAAAGTTGAATTAATTACTTTAGCATTGCATGAGTTGCGCTTGCATTAAAGTTGATTTGTTTTCTTTTCTCATTCGATGATCGTGTGCAGCAACAACTTCCTCGGGTAAGTTGATTAAGCTATCAATTGTAGTCACATTCATCACCCTAACACATTTCTTCAAAGCAACCAAATTTATTTGTCTGTTGTGTTGTAATTATCCAACTAACTTCTCCGCTTATTTTTATCTGCCAGGACGTGGAACGGCATACACTTCGAAGTGTAAGTTGTTTATCCATTCAGTGAACTCATTTCAAATTCATGAAGATATTGGTGGCGGAGATGATGATGATGATTCATTGGCTACTGAGTGCTTTCAATAACTGATTATTTTGTTGGGGTCAGGCCAGTGACAATTATCCATCACGTGTGAATTAGGGTAACTCCTCTGATGGAGGGGGATGAGCACTCTTACTTTCTCCTTGCCTACATTTCATCCATTCATCAGCGATGTGTCCACGGATTTACCTTCACTTGATTAAAGCATTTAAGCCTACAAGGCAATGTGCCTTGAAAAAGCCAAATAAGGTTAGACAATCTCATTTTCAACTTTACTAGCCTTTAAACTTTCCCACTGTTTATTTTGATTTTAGTCGTGCTTGCACTTCTGTCGGTGCTGATGCTCTTGAAATGCTAACTGTTTGGACGACCGAACTAACTGCCTGTTATTTATCATGTCAATTCTACTTGGATTCCACACTAACACTTTAAAGTGTTTCTATATCTTCTTTCATAAATCAAATTATCTACAATTGAAGCCCGTATTCTCCCTATTTTATAAAGCCTGAAGTTATCTGTGCATCGTTTCAGGCAATTTGCTACAAGTCATCTATTTATGCTTTCTCACGTCAAAGGCATCTTAATCGCCCATACCAGACAATAATTTGACAGTATGCATTTTGGGCGCTTGGGAAAATCAGGTAAATTGGGACAACTCCGCAGCTAATTATCATATACAAATGCAGTCGGGGCGCCTTGGTATAGCTTTCATGACACTCGTGGTTTCCTGAAGCGAAACGAATTCCGTTGTCAAACCGATTGAATGCCATAAAGCACATTGTCATTTAAACCAGAACGAACCCGTTAAACCACATTTGTACAGCAGGTTGTGTTACCGCACCACATTGTATTAATATCTATGTACATGCGTTGTGCCCACTGTTCAATTAAGCAGCCTCTATTTTTATGTATTGCCATTAATTCTGGCGTAAAGTGTCCGCGAGTTGTGTGCATTTGAATGTAGTAATCAGGCTACGATTGTTGTGCCAGATATTCACGACACAAAAACTGGTGCTCTTAGTGGGTGTCTCCTGATTGGCCACTAATTCTGCGGGTGGACTGACTTGAAGTGTTCTGTGAACCAGTGCAATGCCAAAGCGTTGCCAACAGGCACACTATAAACAAGTACGCGAGAATGGTGCCCACCCATGCCCCATGGCTCAGCAATCTAGGTCATTAGAATATAACGAAAAGTATGCCCGCTTTGGTTACAGTAACGTCAATCTGGTATGAATGTCTCAAGATATATAAGTCGCGCAAGTATTCGTTTCAAATGAAATGCTTCGTTCCTACATTTGAATCAAGCCGGTTAAAATACCATTGGGAGGGGCATTGAGGTGTTGCTGATAGTACTTGAGAAGGTATGGGTAACGGTACTATCTTAATGCATGAATTAAAGTGGAGTTAAAATGAATTTGATGGAAGGAAGTTCACTTTCCTTTCTAGCCTAACTACTCGTGGTATTGCGGTCACACCCAAGGGCTAAAGTGCCTTTAGAAAAATTTTACCTTATGAATTTCGGTGATCGGTATGATGAATGTGTTAAAAATCGTGCTTTTATTAGGTAAGCGTTCTAAATTTCTAAAGCTAAGGTTGTTTGCTATTTCTTTATTATGGTAGATTTACTGTAAAATATTTTGAATGAGCAACCGCAGAAAGTCTACTTTATTTGGATTTCGCACTGTTGTTTGCAGCAAACTATTTTTTTGAGCTAGGGTTATAAAAGAGGTAGACTGGTTACCTAGCTTACGATTTTCTAACCCATATTTTCACTCTGCTCGCCTTGTTTCAACGCTCTTCAATTGAACACGTCCAATAACTAATGAAAGTCTTTTTGGTTGCTCATGAGCCATCAGTAAACCATGCAGTGTTTAGTGGTCGATGCCTGTCAAATGCATCTTTCCTCAGTTCTTGGTCCTTTCAAAGGGGCACAGGTTAGTAAAATATGAGCATGTGCTCCAATAAGAGATTACTCCATTAATAATGGTTTGTTTCGTATATTAATGTTAAAGCATTTTTTGCTTGCCCATTTTACTCCACAAACAGATGGAAGGCACCTGAAGCCCCTTTAGGGTCAAAAAAGTGGTACAGGTGCAACTGATAGTCATTCGTAGATTAATGCCACCGAGTCACCCTTTTGTTTAATCCACTAGGAATATTCCCTAAATCCTTACACGTATCCCCATCATTCCAATTACTAGATCTCAATCTTTTCCCAAACTTGTAAAAGTACTAGAGATGACGGACTAATCATTGAAGGAACGCATTTTTAACAAGACAAAATTTAATCTACCCAAAACTGGCGTGTTTCTGAAGAAAAGTTTGATCGTAAGCAGTCGGTTTGTTAGACGTTTAAGCCTTCCTTGGGGCTTTAATGGAAGCAGTGCGTGGTCGGTACTTGACATATTGCCCCGCGCCGCCACGAATATAATGGCTGAATTCTTGTTTAAAGTCACTACTAACATGAAAGCATACTTACCGTTGACGATCAGATAGACTTGCGACTTGGATGCAGAACTACAGGCTTCCTTGTATTTGTCAAACCCTTCTTTTGTTCATGCATGAAGTGAGAGCAATGGGCTTCATTGTCGTGGCCATATAGGTTGTCTGGCCACAGAGGAGATTGAAGCTTCTAAATTGGTAGAAAGTGATGAGGAGACGTCTGTTCCTAAGGCGGATGCTACTTCGTTGTTTTCTGGTGAAGGACACCAGGGTGATGATGGCCATGAGGAAATGTCTTCCTCACCGGAAAACATTCCCATGGTAGAGGTAATCGATGTCTATAAGGATCCCATTGTAAATGCACAGGCGATCAAGGTGTTGAGTGTGGCAACATAAAAACCCCTGAAGAGCATTACCAACCTTAAAAAAATGTACTGGTAAGGGCCATTTTGCGTATGAGATTTGTGCTTTTACTGCAGTTTAATGACTTGACATGCCTTTTTTTCCTAGAGGAAATATTTTGGCAATGCTTCATTGTGATCAGCGTATGGTGGTTAACTCCTTCTCCATCAGTGAACTTGGTAGATACTCTACTGAGGTAGAAAATGAGCAGCAGTTGAAGGGCGTTTGCTTATGGTCCCCAACATTTGCGGCTATTTAGAATTTCTGGCAGTTGCCCAAATCCGAAATGCGTAGCACGAGTCTGTCAGTTGTCTTTGTCATCGTGTCTACTGAGAAATCACCCAGTAGATGAGATGTTGCTATTTTTTGTGCGCAGAACTGAGTACTTGCGCTGCTTCGGCCCTATCAGAGTGGAATTGAAATTCAATATTTACTCAGATGAGGCAAAAAACTTTAGTTTGCGTCGTTGATGCTAGGATACGGTGTTACATAGTTGGTGATACTAATTCACACAGGAATTTTGCAGACTTGGACGTGTTGTGCGTTCTGTAGTTATGCTTGAGCGTAGGCCTGTACAGTTAAACTTATAATCGTGACACACTTGTCGCCTCTTGCCAACTTTGCTCCTAATGTTGCTTGTGATTTTTCTTCTATTCCGACCACAACAGCTGTGCAGACAAAAGCAGTAATCCTATGATAATTTTTCACCAAGAGAGTGAGATTCTCGAGTTTCACCTTAGAGACGCGCAGATGTGGTACACTTGGCATGCCCTAGTGACGAAATGCATTAGAAATTATTCACTGATAATAGTGCACGTTTGAATGCTATTCTGGAGTCGGTGAATTGTGTAGCTGAGTCGGATTTTGTAAAGAACTCAGTACCTGTGTGTTTATTTGTCGGCGTTGCGTTGTCGTCTTCCCTATCGTCATCTTACTATTTCAGGAGGTGTTTAAAAGTGGTAATAGGGAATGCAAAAAACCATGTAACCAAGCTAGCACTAACAAACCCAATCTATCTGTCTCTAGAGGAAACTACTACGTGTAATTTTAGGAAGTGTCAGCACCACCCTAAGCGACGCTTCAAAACAGGAGGCATTACAAATATAAGTTGGATGGTCACTCATTTCTGCAGTATTTTTCGTGCCTAATTGTGATTATCCGAATCCAGAGCAAGGTGAATGAATTGGGTTGAGAGGAAATATTTGGAAATTTTTTGTAAGAAGGACGCCCATCTCAAAAAGGTGAATTTACAATTACTTTTCTTAAGAATTCCAGCAAATTAAGTAGTCGGTATAGTCCATGTGATGCTAGAGCCCTTCATTTACTTGACAGTCAAGGATAGCAGAGTCAGGAAGATTAATCGCGAAGTGTTTCCCATTCAGATGCAATGGACTTGCAGACGGTGCTTCCAC